AGATAGAAACATCAATGATGAGAGAGAATCAGCTGCCTCCTGCATGCTCCACACTGGGGATCAAGCCTGAAACCCAGGCATGTGCCCCTACCGGGAATCGAACCATGAACTCCTAGTTCAAAGGTCGACGCTCAACCACAGAGCCACACCGGCTGGGCCTAATGAGTTTATCCGACTGAAGTGACTGGAATGGAGTGTTATGTTATTTGTACAAGGAATCTAAGCACACCTGCGGAAAAAAAGATCGGATTTCATTTATTTCTTTATAGACACCTACAGTATAAAATCAGTTTTATTTTTCGTCAGTTTGGCATAGCACAGCTAAGGAGTTCCTTGTATTTACTCACCTGTGCCCAGTATAACCGCACTCATTCTGGAATTGTGTTTTTAAGACTGGCATTTGTTTATAATGGATTAGTCATAAGTGTAAGAAAGTCTCAATTGATGGTGTCTTTACAAATGACTTTATGTTTGCAGGGTTTTTTGTGTGTGTGTTTTAATCCTCACCGGAGGATATTTTTCCATTGATTTTTAGGGAGAGTGGAAGAGAGAAGGAAAGACAGAGAAAAACATCGATGTTTGAGAAACACATCGACCGTTGCCTCCTACACGAGCCCCCACCAGGGCCCGGGCTGGGGAGGAGCCTGCAACCGAAGTAAGTGCCCTTGACCGGAATCGAACCTGGGACCCTTCAATCCACAGGCCGACGCTCTACCCACTGAGCCAAACCAGCTAGGGCTATGTTTGCATTTTTTTAATCCTCACCCAAGAATATATTTTCATTGATTTTAGAGAGAGAGGAAGGGAGAGGGAGAGGGAGAGAAACATCGATGTGAGAGGGAAATTCGGTCAGTTGCCTCCCATATGCACCGCGACCGGGAATCGACCCGGAGACCTGTCGGTGTGCGTGACGAAGCTCCAACTGCGCCTCACGGGCCCGGGCAGCGGTGAGTTTATCTTAATGTTTTAAAAGCAACGATAGGTTCTTTCCTGCAGTGGAGTCCCTGCTTCACCGTCACAAAATCAAAGCAACGGGTTCGTTTTAGTGGAGCTTCAGGTAAAACATGACAATGAAAAGAGGACAGAACGTAGTGTTTGGAGGATGGTTTAAATTCAGCGCTTCCTGGAAAAGTCTTCCTAAATCTCTCTGGGCCGCGTCATTCTTTAAATTATGGGATGCCTCTCCCCAGTGCCGGTGGGGTGCTCTGTCCTGAGGAAGCGGTGGCCTTGTGTTGGGGTGACCCCTCACTTCATCTGGCCACCAGCACCTTGTCCCCCCACCCCCCGAGGCCCCCAGAGCACTCGCTCAGGCCTCCCCCACACCATGGCCAGTCTGGGAGCTCACCTACCATCTCCTCGGCCCCCATCCTGCACAGCGAGGAGGAGAGGTGACTGACAGGGGGCAAGACCAATGCCCTCATTGAAGCGGCCGCGGGGAAACGCCCGCCTCTATGGCCAAGGTCAACGCCAGGAGCCTCATCTGCAGTGCGGGCGCTGGAGGACCTGCCCCGCAGCTGGCCCAGCCTGCAC